TCGGGACAGCAGTAGGCAATACAGCAGCAGCAGCAGCTAATGCTGCTGCTGCTGCTGCTGCTGCTGCTGCTGCTCATGGGGCTTCAGGGGAAACTTTAATGCCTCATGCGTTTGGTGCAGCAGCAAACTTCGCTCATCTAGCAGCACCAGCAGCAGCAGCAGATCCTGCTGCTGCTGGTGGTGGTGCTTCATTTTCTTCCTTCACAGCAGCAACAGCAGCAGCAACAGCAGCAGCAGCAGCAACAGCAGCAACTGCAGCAAACAACTTTTCTGTCCCCTACAGTCAAATGCATGCACCCAATTCTTTTCTTGTAGACTTCGCCCGCACTTCATCAAGGAGAGGGCCCCCACCCTCAGCAGCAGCAGGTGCAGCAGCAGCAGCAGCAGCAGCAGCAACAGCAGCAGCAGCAGCAGCACAAGGAAGCCGCAGCAGATGGAGAGAGAGAAGAGGGGGAGGAGACACCCGAAAAATTGAAAGTCAAAATATTACAGTTTTTGCTTCAAGTAGACAGGAGACTCAAAAGAACAGCAGCAGCAGCAGCAGCAGCAACGGCAACAGCACCAGCAACAGCAACAGCAGCAGCAACAGCAACAACAGCAACATAAACACTGGAAAGGCAAATACTTCTGCGAGAAAAAATATTAACAATCAACTGGCTGCAGCGCAGGCTGGAAGCAGCAGCAACAACAGCAGTAACAGCAGCAACAGCAGCAACAGCAGCAACAGCAGCAACAGCAGCAGCAACGCCACTACCCTTCAGCGGGGCCTCCCTGCAGCAGGAAGAAATGATCAATCCGCAACAGCAGCAGCAAACATCAAAGGAGCAGCCAGAGACCTTAGCAGCAGCAACAGCAACAGCAGCAACAATAGCAGCAACAGCAGCAACAGCAGCAACACCAACAGCAGCAGCAGCAACAACAGCAGCAGACAGGAAGGCATCTCCAGCCACCCCAAACCGACGATAGACAGCAGCAGCAGCAAACACCACAAACAGGAGCACAAAGCAAGAAACGCAGCAGCAGCAGCAGCAGCAGAAACTGATGCTGCTGCTGCTGCTCCTGCTGCTAAAGGCGGCAGGTGGAGAGCAGAAGACATTCGCGCAGGCCAACGCGAGCAGCAGCAGCAGCAGCAGCACCAGCAGCAGCAGGCAGTGGATTTCTGGGGCTTCGGAGCAGCAGCAGCAACAGCAGCAGCAGAGCAGCAGCAGCAGCAGCAGCAACAGGAAGCAGCAGCAGCAGCTGAGCGATGGGGACAGCCTATTGGCTTTCCGCCTTCTAACAACAGGCAGAGCAGCAGCAGCAGCAACAACAACAACAGCAGCAGCAGCAGCAGCACCAGCGCCTCTGCTGCAGACGCCCGCAGGCCTAACACCCACATGAACACCCAGCAAGCAGCAGCAGCAGCAGCAGCAGCAGCAGCAACAGCAGCAGCAGCGAACTGCATGAGGGCACTGGAGCACTCAGCTAGCAGCGAAGAAGAAGAAGCAGCAGCAGCAGGCTGTAGAGCACATTATATAGGAGGGGAGGCAGATAGAGAGATTTGTATTGCTGCTGCAACAGCAGCAGCAGCAGCAGCAGCAGCAGATCTGCTGCGGCAGCAGCCTGTTGCCCCTGTAAGCAGCAGCATCTCTACTGCATTCTCAGCAGCAACTGCAAGTGATAGCTGCCCAGGACATCTAGAAGCAGCAGCAGCAGCAGCAGCAGCAGATATAAAAGCAAGCTACACGGAGCTGCAGCACCACCACCAGCAGCACCAGCAGCAGCAGCAATCGTTTGCTCTTAAACCGGAGACAAACAGCGACTGCTGCGTCAATCCAGCTGCTGCTGCTGCTGCTGCAGCAGCAACTCAGCAGCAAGAAGAGTTACGAGGAGCAGCAAAACGAGAAGAAGAAGCAAAGGGAGAAAACAGAAGAAGAGAAGCAGCAAATGGCTGTACTGTGCAATGAAACCTCAGGTGTATAGGCAGCT